CCATCGAATCTAGTGTGTATTTAACACTTAGATCGAGATTGCCAAATGAGATACAGGCTGCCTAGGTAACTTTGAACATCAGATAAACAATGAAACACTTTTTTTTTTTTTAGTGTAAGTATATCCCAAATGTTGCATGGGATAGATATACTTATACCAAAAGTTTGTTTCTTATTTATCTGAAATTCCAAGTTACCTGGGCAGCCTGTATTTTTATTTGCTCCATCCACAGCCCTCCTTACAGCATATCTGAACTTGGAGGCTCACGTTTCAGGTGCTTAATAGCCACTTGGGCTCGTGGAGTCTCGAGAAGGGGATAGGGCAGGTGTAGAGGACTTCGGTCACCCAGTGGAGTCCAAGAGCACAGGTCCCCCAAAGGCAACTTGCAAAGGATCCACCTTGCTCCTTCTCCCTCTGTGGCCCCGCTAACCACTACCCCTTTATCTGCCTGGGACTTTATCCATGGAGCTTTCTGAAAGGAACTCGACACATTCTATTTCCGACAATCTCCTGGCAGGTAAACGAGTGACAGGAAAGTTTCCATCTCACCCACAATTCTCCATATCAGCAAATTTTCAAAATCCAGATAAGGGGTCAAGGCCAGCAGGGCTAGCGGGGCAGGGTAGGGAGGAATAACAGGCCAGGCCCAGGAGACGGGGGGCTCAGGAGCCTCCTCCTTCCTGGGTTCTCTCCTCTGGGCCCCCCTCCTCAGGCCCCCCTGAGTCTTAGCCACACCCTCTGGATGGAGTCTCTGACTTTGGGGTGTCTCTCTCTGCCTCAGTTGACACATCTAAAACACTGGGAAGTTGCAGACCAGAGCCCTGGAATGGGGAAGTGGAGCCGGCGAGGCTGCTGCTGGGGAAAGATGCAGCTTGCACAAGAGGTACGTCCCCAGAGGCTGCACTCCCTGGCTCTCATGGGGCCCTCTGTGTGGTCAAAATTCCCACTGAGTCCTGGTCTGTGTGTGGGGTACAGTTCAGAGTGTCAAAGGATGTTGGTAAAAAGGCCATGGCTAGATCAAAGGCCCGGAAAGGTAGACCACTCGCCAAAGTCACACGGCACCCCTGCAGCAGAGCTAAGGCCTGGAGCAGTGAGCTTCCCTCTGCCCTTCTCCTTACACAAGGCTTATATGACCTCAGGAGTTACTGCTGCTGGGAATCCCCAGAAGGAAGGACTATGAGTACCATTTTACCCTAGGTGTCACAAGGCTCCAAGGGGGCAGCGCCTCACCCAGCCCATCGGGCTGACCCCAGAGACCAGTTCTCACCCACAACACTAGGACACACGCACTGGGTGGTGCCCAGCCTGAACCAGTCATGTGATTTGTGGGGCTCAGGGCAAAATAAAGATGGAGGATTGCTTATCCAAAGTTTATAAAGAATTATAAGGTGGTGATAATAGAGTGCAGGGCCTTTCTGAGGGTGGAGCCCTGGGCACAAGGCGTACGCCTGGGAGCTCCCAGGGAACAGGGCGGAAAGGAGGGCAGGACCCAGGTCAGGCCTGGCTCTGTGCTGGGCGCCCTCCTTGGCCCTTGGCCCCAGCCCCTGAGACCTTTGGCCATGGATCCAACTGTGCCTGACCTCTTCCCTAAGCCCAGGGCCTGTTCACCCCAGTAGTTTATGGCGCCCCCAAATCTTCACTGCACTCACCGCCAGCCACAAGTCCCTACCTGCTCCAGCACCCCTCTCCTCTCTCTCTCTCTCTCTCCCTCTCTCTAGCTCTCTGCAGGTCCCAACAGGTCTCTGTGTCCTCAGAGGCACCTTTCACCAGGCCCCACCCCCTGTCCCCCAAAGAGCCCTGCAGTCAGACCTGGTCCCCTACGACCACCAGGGCCAGGACGAGGACAGCTACATGCAAGTGGCACCAAAGCCCTCCAATAATCAAGGCACATAGTGTGTTCATGCAACATTTTTAAAATCGGAAGTAATGCCCAAATCCAGGATAAATAAAACAGCAAAATAAATGAAAAAGTTTTAAATAAAGACAGAATTAGTATTCCGATTTTTTGCCTCAGGCTTCAGTAGGGCTCAGCACGGCACTGCTACAGATCCTGTCTTTCTTTGAAATTTTAAAGTTTTGTTTATCCTGGATTATTTACATTAATTTTGATTTTTTAAAAATTGCATTAAGGTATTTTCTTGAGCTCTTAGTGTTTTGGGCACATTCTTAAGTTTTACAGGCAAGGTATGTGCCTCACTTGTCACCCACAGACCTTCCAGCCACAGGGTGGGGCTGGCAAAGAGGCACACAACAGGGACAATCACAGTGTTAATGAAAATAACAGCTAAGGTGCACACTGAGGTCTACAGGCCAAATGCATTCCCAACTCCATCCCTTCCTTCCTTCCTTCCTTCCTTCCTTCCGGAGCACCTATTATGCGCTAAGCACTATTTGGGACAGGATAAAGCAGACGCAATTACACTTCCCTACCCACACAGAACCCACATCCTGATCTGGAGAGAGTGACAATAAAATAGTAAAATAAATAAGAACCGGCAAAATGTGAGGTGTGCAATGCTACATGCTAAGGAGAAAAACTAACAAAGGAAAAAGATAGGAACCAGGAAGCACGCTTCATGTTCTCGGTACGGTAACCACGAAGGAGGTTATATAAAAGCCACACCCACCCCCGGAGAGGGAGTCTGTTACTTGGCCCCATTTTTCAGATGAGGAAACTGAGGCAGGTTGCCCAGGAAGTGGCAGTGCTGAATTCTCAGCTTGGGCAGGCTAGTGCCAGGGGGCTTTTTACGGAGGGGAGAGGGGCTGCGGAGTGGAGACACTATGAAGAACCAGGTGGAATGAGGGGGCGGGACTCTTTCTCCACTTAAAGGGGCCTTTTCTTAAGATGGGCAGAGCCGTCTCCACCTCCCTAGGGGAATAGGCCAGGTTGAATTATTCAGAGGTCCTCGGTTCCTTCATTCGCTGACGGAGCCCCAGGAGTGGAGGCCAACTCAGTCACCCTCCAGTCCCTCTGCCACAAGGACTGCCCTGCGGGAGCAGGGGGCGGCCCTTTAAGGCCAGCCCTGGGGCAGGCAACGTGATCGGGGATCGCCAAGTTCATTCATCCTGGGGCCCCTGCTGACTCACGCTTATGAAAGTGATTTTTCTGGCCCCGCCTGCCGCCTGCCTCTTCCCAACTCTTGAAATACCCTCGCTTGCCTTAGCCTCTCACAGTCTCTTGGATCCCCACGGGGTAATGGGTGTCCTGCTCCTTTGTCAGGCACCTTGATTTCCTGGCTTTCCTAGTGTCCAATCAGGCCAGGCTCATCGGTCTCCTTTGACCTCCTGCCAATCAGGTGAGTGGCCTGGGCAAGGCATGGGGGGCGGGAGACCATGGGACATCTTGGGCAGGGGTGGCCCACAGGGCCCTGTAACCAGGCAGGGGGACGCACAGGTGATCCTGAGAGGAGGCCCACCTGGCTTCCTCGGGGGCCAGAATGATTCTCCCCCACGTCCAGGTTCCTCCTCCACCCCTCTGGCCATGCGCATCTCCAGGTTCCTGGCGCCCTTATCCCTCCCAGCAGCTGCCCTGCAGCCTGCAGTGGAGCACACCTTGGCCATGTGACACAGCTCTAGGCAGGAAAGTAAGAGAGGTGTGTCCAGCCTGGGCATGCAGCCCAGAGTCAGAGGCCACTGGGTCCCACAGCCAGGCTGGTGCTTCCCGTAGGGGCTCCCCGTTCCCCGCCCCCCGCCCCCCACCATTCTGTTCAGGTTGAGCATAGCCCCCAGGGTCCCGGGGACTTACGTGGCTTCTCACGGAAGGTTAGAGTGCTGAGAATTGGAGAGTCTGGGGAACCTTGGAACTCTCAGGGCTCCAGGTGGGGAGGCTCGGTTGACAGAATGCCTCTTCATCCTCACCTTGCCACAGCCTCATGTCACTTTCTTGGTGGCACTGTTATGCTGTTTTACTCAGAGGGGACTCACCCGCCCTCACACAGGCATCAAGGGGGAGGATTTGCGCTTGTGGGCGTGGTCTCAGACATTCCTGGGCCGCCTCCCCGTCCTAACTGCCTTCCTGTCTCTGTGCAAAGGGTATAAGAAAACCCACCTCCAGGGGTTGCCATTGGTGGAAGTCACATGAGTAAAGAGTCACCAGAGGTGATCGATAAATGCAGCCATGCAGGTGTCCCAAAAACTTAGGGCCGTTTAAAACTTAATGTCCTCAGAAGTACCAATGCTACAAACGTAAGAGGAACAGCATCTGAAGGTGTAATTATTTCCATTTTTTATGCTTATCTGCTTTTGTGAATGAATCAGTTTTTAATGTTAACTTTTTTCAGTTGACATTTGCCTCTTCAACCAAAGGGACTTAAAATGTTAACATTAAAAATGGACCATTTGATCTCCACAAAACAAAAAAAGCATAAAAGAAGTGGAATTATAACTTTCAAGCTATCTGTTGCAAATTGGCAGCTTGTATTTTTCTGAGGTAATGAGAGCTTTAAGCTGCTCAGGACTTTGAGACGTCTGTATAGATATACAGGAAGCGACCTATTAGGTCAGCCCTGGGTGGTGACCTCATGTGTGTGGCATTCAGAAGCTTCTGGAAGAGAGCATTGGATTTAGAGTCCAAAAGCCCTGGTGCCCTGTGCTCCCCGTGAAGCAGTATAACGGGCCACCGGTTCTCATCTTTCAATGAGGGATCCTGCAAGTCCCTTCCTACTGAGAGATGGGAAGATTCGAAGAGACAAGGGAGAGGAAGGAAGTGGCCTGGGGTGGCCTGCGGTAGGTGTGCTGGGGGAGCTCAGAGCAAATTCTAGATGGTCTCAGCCCATGGGGATCAAACTCTAGTTCTGTCACCGGCTAGCTCTGTGGCCTCGGGGACATGGCCTCACTTCTCCACGCCTCGGTTTTCTTTTCTGTAAAATGGGTTACTATGAGGATTAAAGGAGCTAACGCGTAGGGAGCATCATGTGCATCCCCTCTGCTGTTATTCCTGGGGACAGTGATGACAAGGAGTAGGCCCCCCGGGGCTGTTTGAAGGTACAGAGAGGAAGTGGGTGAAAGAGCTCTGGGAACTACAGCCCTATTCTCCAGGGCCTCCAGGCACACCCAGCACCGGGTAGTTAGTGAGAAACTGTCCCTACCCAGCTGGGAACAGCATCCCTGGCCTCCACCCCCGCCCCCCACCACCAGCTCTGAGACAGCGCAGTAGGGAGAGCAGGGATGGATGTGCATGTGCATGCTATACTTTCAGCATGGCCAGGAAAGGCCTCTGGAAGGAGCTGTCACTTCCTGTCACACTGCATTCTGGAACAGGGTGTCCTGGGCTCAATCAGCCTCGGCCCATGCAAGCTGGGGCAAACTCCTCGCACACTGCACAGGGCTGTGAGAAGCGACCTGGATCTCAAGTTTTCCCATCTGTAATATGGGAGTGATTGTAGGAGCACCTATAATAACCCAGCTAAATGAAAATTAAATTAGTTGATATGCACAAGCGTTTAAAACATGTTTGGCACCTAGCCAACTCCACAGAAGAACAGAAATTTTAGGTGGCTGTTGTCACGAATGGTAGTGGTATCACCCCAAAATCCTGTCCCCAGGCAGACAGCACAGGCCCTGAAAGGAATCAGGCATGGAGAAGACCATGCCTCTTGATGTCAGCTGGATGTCACCTTTTGTCTCCATAAGGAGATGCTGTGGGACACGGGGCTCACCCAGACAAGAGGGGAAGGCTGTCCCGGGCCCCAAGTCCCAGCTGAGGCGAGCAGCCCCAGGTCTCACCAGGCGACAAGCCAAGTGGCATGGTCATAGTCAAAGTCTTGGCACCAGTTAGCTCTGGGTTTAAAAGTCTACTGCGTGACAGACAGTAACTTGTACCAACTCTCTGAGCCCCAGTTTATACATCTGCAAAGTGGGATAGTTGCACTGATAGTCCTTTCTGCATAGGGTCTATATGAGGACTTGAGAAAAGGTATGTCAAACACCCAGTAGGTAGCAAGGGCTAAATGCCCAACCCCTTTGCACACACTCACATAGATGCTGCCTTGTGGCTCTCATGACTAGGGCTGCTGGACAGTGGGTGAGGCAGGGGCCCCGTTAGAGGGCTTGGAGGATGTGGAGAAGTTGAGTCTGGACTCTCTTAGCATCTACAGCCCTAAGATCTGGGTTTGGGTCCCTTTGAGTGATTTGGGCCTATGGCCAGAAGGGAGCGCTGGTGCTCCAGACATAAGCAAGCTTACAGGCATTTTCCCTAAACCAAATTACTCCAGGCTTCCAGTTTTCCCAAGTCCTAATGTTCCAGTCTAGACCCTGGGACAGGCAATGAGCTCTGGTCTTTTCCCAGTGGCAGATTTGCTGCAGGCAGGTGCTTTACATATGTGACCTCACTGTGTCACCAACAGGCCTGCAGCGGTAGAGACTTTATTCCCATTTCACAGATGAGGAAGCTGAGATCCAGAGAGGCCCAGAAACAGGCTTATGTAACCAGCTATAAAGCACCTCCCTAGGGCCAGGTGATGGCTTCAAAGTCCAGTAGGCTACACCCAAGACTTGAGTGTTAGATTTCAGGCTGGAGGCTGTGACCAACACAGAAGTGCTGAGCAGGGCTTGTCCTGAAGCTTAAGCAGAGGAGGCCTCATAGAAGATAAGTAATAGGCTTTGATTATTGTTACTGCCCCACTGGTGAGATAAGGATTGTGGAGCGAAGCTCAGAGAGATGAAGGTGACCAGGCTAGGGAAGGGACTCTGCATAACTGGGAGAGGAAAGATGACCTGACTGGAATGGAGCAGGTGTGAGGAGGGGAGGAGGGAGGGCTGAATACCGTTCTGCTGTGCCTCAGGGAGGACCTTGGACTCAACCTCGAAGGCCACAGAAGGACACTCTACATGCGGGAAGGAACCCTATGACACCCGAGGCTCACCCAGTGGCCCTTCCTCCTCTATGCCCCTAGGTCAGCTGCCAGTCCCCAACCCCCCGCCAGCTACAGCCATGAGCAGCTGGAGGAAGGACCACCTCGGTGCCAGTAGTTCGGAGCCTCTCAAGGTCATCATCATCGGTGAGTGCTACCCTGGGCCGGGGAAAGGCTGAACTGAGCCTTCCAGGTGTCCCCAGCATCAAAGGTCAGGAGCCAGGCAGGGCTAGGCCTGGCCTTTCTTTACAATTGTTATCTTTAAAATTGGCCACTGAATGGTCACAATGTGCCCAGTGCTATGCTTAGCAATTTATACAATATGATTCCACATAATCTTTCTAAGAACCTGCAAGGCAAAAACAGCGAGGATGTAGGGGCCTGATCATAAGCCCCTGTGGTCCTGTGCTCACGCTGTGCCTGGCACCATGTTGGGTGCCTGCATGGGTGGGGAGGGGGTCAGGGGGGACACAGCCAAAGCATGTGGTCCTGTCCTCAGGTCTGCAAAAATGGGAGGCAGATGGTCCCTCCCCTATGCAAGCATCAGGTTGAGCCATATGAAATGTCCATTTACGCAAGTCAAAAACAGTTGAACATTGGCAATTTCCTGTGGTTCATCTTAATAATCATCTACATCTGGGTAATATTCTAAACAATAAACGATGAAGAGGGGAAAAGACAGATAAGAATAGAAGGAATGTCATGAGGTTAATTACCCAAGAAATGCAACGGGTAAGTGGTGTGATTTGTTTAGACTTGGGGGCAGGAGGCCCACAAGCGGCTTAGTATACCCCTCTTGAGCCCCAAGCTCACCCCCCAGAGCACATAGCAATCTGTCCTATAATATTTCACTTGTCCATCTTACCTACCAGACTGTTAGTTCTGGGAAGACAGGACGAGCTCCTTAGTGATCTCCGAATCTCGGTCATGTTACTGTGTGACCACAGGCAAGTTACTTAACTTCTCTGTGCCCCAGCTTCCTCTAGTATAAAAGGAGAAAAGAGTAGCATGTACTTCGCTAAAGTCATAGGGAGAGCTCAGTGGGATAATTCAGGCACTTCGGGGCTTTATACGGGGCCTAGAACAGCAGCAGCATGTCAGTTTATTATTATTTGTTATTATTTAAATTCCCTGACACAAAGCTTGACACATAGTAAGCACTCAAATATCAGTGGTTATTACCACAACTTTATTGTTATTCAAGTAGTATTGTACCTGGCACCTAGTAGGCTCTCAACAATTATTTATTACTTTGTTAGTGATTGTTATTATGCGCGGTGCCTGACACATGCTAAGAGCTTGATAAATGTTTTATTTTTATGAATGAAGAGCAAATCAATGAAAGAGTCAGATCAAGACCAAAGCTGTCAGCTGGAGTGGTCTCTTGAACCCAAAAGCGCTGCCCTCTGACCCCGCCCTCTCTCCCCAGGCAATGGTCCCTCTGGCATCTGCTTGTCCTACCTGCTCTCTGGCTACACCCCCTATGTGAAGCCAGACGCCGTCCACCCACACCCCCTGCTGCACAGGAAGCTCACTGAGGTGCCGGGGGTCTCCATCCTGGACCAGGTGGGCCAGAGCTCCGGGAGGGACACACCCCTCTGGGGAAACTCTCTCAGCTTTCCTAGGGCAAAACCAAAGTATGCATTTGTTAGACACGAAACCAATCACAGAACAAGAGAGGCCTTGAAATCAGCCACGGAAACTGTGAGAGAGAAACCGGGGCCATCTTTTGAGACCTACAGATACTACATCGGCATGTCTCCCCTCCCTTAGACCAGTGGTTCTAAACCTGGCGACAACTTTGCTCTCCAGGGACACTTGGCAATTCCTGGAGATAATGTCAGTTGTCACAGTTATAGGGATGGTACTACTGGCTTGAAAGTCGAGACCAGGGACATTGTTAAACATCCTACAAGGCACAGGACAGCACCCACCACAAAGAATGGTCTGGCCCAAATGTCAGGAAAGCCAAGTTGCAAAACACTGCCCTAGGTGCTGTAGTTCCACTGCTCCCTGCCCCAGAGAGCTTTACAGATCCCCTCCTCTATGCCCCTTCAGGCAGCATCTATCCTCCTAGTCACCAACCACGCCCCGCCCCCCTCAAGCTGGTGGATGAGGAAGTAAGCTGACATTTGGTCTCGATCAGCATTTTTCAAAATGCCTTCTACATGACGCCAGTTCCTTGGTATAATATGAAGAGAAAATGTTCCTACTTTAGTAAGTCTGAGAGACACTGGGTTGAGCTAATTAAACAGGTAAAATGACAGCCGCAGGACTTGTCAGAGCCTTTAATACACCATTGTACATTCTCTCCTGAGAGGCAGTGTTTCTCAGCTTATCTAACCACCTGATATGAGGGTGGGCATCGTAGAACCAGGCCTCCTTCCTCTGGTGGCCCTTCTGACTTGTGCGCCCTCTCCAGGACCTGAGTTACCTGTCCGAAGGCCTCGAAGGCCGATGCGAAAGCCCTGTGGCCCTGCTCTTCGATGCCCTCCTGCGCCCAGACACAGACTTTGGGGGAAATATGGAGTCCGTCCTCATGTGGAAGCACCAGAAGGAGCGAGCCATCCCCCATGTGGTCCTGGGCCGGAACCTGCCCGGGGGAGCCTGGCATGTAAGTGGGGCCACGAGGGGTGCAAGGGGATTTGGGCCAAATCTACATGGTCTTCTGGAGAGTCCCTCCCTAACTCGAGGTTAGGGCTGCTCCACTTCCTACCGTTCCCTTTTCGCCTGTGAGCCCAGGCCTGCAGTGCCCTCCAGCCCAAGTGGGTTGGAGGCTAGCAAAGGCCTGAACCAGAGGACCCCTCTTCCATGCAGTCCATTGAAGGCTCCATGGTGACCCTGAGTCAAGGCCAGTGGATGGGGCTCCCGGACCTGCAGGTCAAGGACTGGATGCGCAGGAAGAGAAGGTGAGGCAGCCCTAGAGAGCCTGGGGTGGGCAGGGGAGACCAGCCCACCCTGGACATTGAGCCCAGGAGCCGGAAGCAAAGGGGCTTCAGGGATTCTCTAGCCTGGCTTCCTCTTACTCCAGGAGGGAAAACGGAGGCTTGGATGGGGAAGGGACTTGCACAAGACCATACAGAGCGTGAACAGCAGAGCCTCTTTGTCCAGTGCTCCCTCCTCTGCCATATGACCCCTGACTTGGCCTTCACATAGCACCCCAGCCTCCAAGGAGGGAGCGACAGCTGTACTCTGCCCCCAACACCCCACCCCAGGCTCCCCGGTTCTCTGACCTCCCTGCCGCCCCTCCTACAATTCTGAGCCTGGCCTGGAACAATCTCTTTCCTTCTAGGTCAGCTAAATAGAGTGCACTTCCTTTATTTCCTTTTCATGCTGTTGCATTAAAAACATAACCACACCATAGAAAACTGAAAATTGAGAAAAGGAAGACAGCTCACCCCACACTTCTACCTATGGTGGTCACATCTTGGGGTATTTTCTCCCCATCTTTTTTTTTTTCTCCCCATCTCGTTTCCATCTCTTCAATGACCACACTGCATACCTCTGACTGCCTTGGAGAAACAGTCAGATCACCCACTAAACGAATTCCAGCCCCTGCTCATCCTGGGGCACGAGGCATAAGTTGCCCAGTGCTCCAGGCAGAGGATTGCCCCCTCTCTGCGTGGTGTCTGCTCCCCCGGCCCTCAGTGCTGTGAGGCACCGTCATTCCCACCCTGCAGGCGCTCAGCCTCTCCCCGGAAACTTAGTTTCTGCCTCTCCAGGATTCTCCATCTGTCTCCTTGACACAAAAGATTTTTTGTACCTGCAGATTCTGTAGGAAGACATCCAACACATAGTGATGTATTAACAGACAGACAGGAACTTAAATTTCACTTCTAGACATATCTTTTATATCCTACTTTGAAAACTTAACATTATGTCATAGCATTTCACGTGATTACACAGAACTGGCAACCATTCTTTTACATGGCCATGTAGTACTTTCCAGGGAAGGTAATCTCTGCATTGAAAATTTCCCACATGCGGATCCTTGTGCCTAGATGTTGGAGCCAAAAACCAGACAGATGTGCTCCCTGCCCTTGAGGGGCCGTCACGGTTCCTAAATCGCCGCCCAGTCCTGGAGCTTCCGTTCTTTCCGATGTGCCACTTCTCTAAGTAACCCCTTGTGTAGCATCTTAGGACAATCCTTCGAAACAATTTTTACTAAAACAGAGAAGAGGAAATGAGAAACCCACAGAAATAAATTCCAGAGTTCCAGTTTCGGTAGCAGACTAACGAGCTGGGTTGGCGGGAGTAGCCTTGTGGGATGTGGTCTGAGCTCACGCTATAGTCGGTCGTGTTGACATGTCACTTAGGTTTCCCATTGAGTTCATCCCTGACAGTGTGTCCACAGTTGGGGAAAGTAACTCACCTAAGGTCACATAGCTAGACACAGGGAGGAGCCAAAAGAGTGCCACAGCCTGCACCTCAGCCACCAGCAACGCTGGCCCTCAGTCATTGCCCCATAAAGGGTGGTGAAAATAGTAATAATAATAATAATAATAATAATAATAATAATAATAAAATAGTTCCTGCTGTTATTGTGTATGCTAAGGACTATGCTAAGTGCTTTACATGAGTTATTTTTCATCAACTTCTTTACTGAAATATATCATATGTATAAAAAAGTCCACAACTCATGTGTGTACAGGTGGACGAAACTTATCAAAGTGGACACAGCTGTGTTCAGTCACCCAGACTCGAGACATAGATCCCCTGTCCCCAGAAGCCCCCTTAGACCTTTCCCAATCCCCACCCCCTTCTTCTCCCCAGAGGCAACTACTCTCTTGACGTCCAACTCCATGGATTAATTATGTCTGTTTCTGAACTTTACAAAAATGGAATCCTACCATATTTATGTATGATATTACTGAGTCCTTTGTGGTAGTATTAATAGTGGCTGACCCTTATGTGTCACTTACTGCCTCCGGTTTTATTCTAAGCTCTTCATTTATATCATCATCTAATCCTCTCAACAACCACATGAAATTGGTACTATTACCATCATCATCCTCACTTTGCAGATGAAGAAACTGAGGCAGAGTTTCAGGATATAGCTCGCCAATGGCAGATTCTAGATTTGAACCCAGGCCATCTGCCTCTGGAGGGCACCCTCTCAACTCCACCCTAATAAGATACCCTATCAGCTCCAGAAGAGGGACTGAGGCTCTGAGAGGTTAAACCACTTGGACAAGTTTTACAGCTGGTGGGTGGCGCAGCCACAGTTGGCTCCAGCACCTGACTCCAGCCTCGTCATCCCCTGTTCCACCTGATAGCCCCCCACCCCAATCCATTATCCGACACCCACCCTTTTGCATCCTTCCCCCCAGAGGTCTTCGTAACAGCCGGGCCACAGCCGGGGACATTGCTCACTACTACAGGGACTATGTGACCAAGAAGGGTCTGGGCCACAACTTCGTGTCTGGTGCAGTGGTCACGGCTGTGGAGTGGGGGATGCCTGAGCCCAGTGGCTCTGAGGCCCGGAACCCCAGACCCCTCTTCCAGGTGAGCGGCTTCCTGACCTCTAAAGACCAGAGCCAGCAGCCCTTTTCCCTGTGTGCCCACAACGTGGTCCTGGCCACTGGCACATCCGACAGCCCGGCCCGGCTGGGCATCCCCGGGGAGACCCTGCCCTTTGTCTACCACGAGCTGTCAGCCCTGGAGGCCGCCACAAGAGCAGGCACAGTGACACCAGCCTCGGACCCCGTCCTCATCATCGGTGCAGGACTGTCAGCGGCCGACGCGGTCCTCTATGCCCGCCACTACAACATCCCCGTGATCCACGCCTTCCGCCGGACTGTGGATGACCCTGGCCTAGTCTTTAACCAGCTGCCCAAGATGCTGTACCCCGAGTACCACAAGGTGCACCAGATGATGCGGGAACAGTCCATCCTCTCACCCAGCCCCTACGAGGGCTACCGCAGCCTCCCTGAGCACCGGCCACTCCTCTTCAAGGAGGACCACCAGGCTGTGTTCCGAGACCCCAAGGGCCTCCAGAAGGTCTTTGGCGTCTCCCTGGTGCTTGTCCTCATCGGCTCCCACCCAGACCTCTCCTTCCTCCCGGGGGCAGGCACTGACCTCGCCGTGGACCCCAACCAGCCACTGAGTGCCAAGAGGAACCCCATTGATGTGGAGCCCTTCACCTACCAGAGCACACAGCAGGAGGGCCTGTATGCTGTGGGGCCGCTGGCTGGGGACAACTTTGTTCGGTTTGTGCAGGGTGGGGCCCTGGCCGTGGCCAGCTCCCTGCTGAGGAAGGAGGCCAGGAAGCCGCCCTAGCCCTTGGCCTGACAGACATCCTCGCGCCCATGCCCTAAAGAGGAAGGGAGATCACCACAGCCCTGCTGGACACAAGATGCCCCAGTGAGGGAAGGGGGCCTCTCCCAGCAGGAGACAGGAATGGCCATGAGCCCATGCAACAGGCTTCTCAGATGAAGGGGAATGGGGAACCCCGGCTGCCTGAACTCAGACCAGTGCCCAGGGTGGGAAGAGTGGCTGCAGGTCAGCAGAGGCTCAGACCTGTGATTTGGGGCGAATGCTGCCAATGTGAGTGGGGATCACCAGAGCCAGCTGAGCGCTGAGTGCTGAGCCAGGAGGAATCCAGGCCCCGTTCCTTCCAGAATCAAGTCCCAAATAAAATCAGCACCTGCCTCCACCCGTGTATCTGAGGATTATGTGCTTGGGGAGGGGCGGGGTGCCCAGGAGCCTGCTCTGGGGTTGTGGAGGGCGCGCCTGTTGGGGCGTAGGGTTGGGGGGGTAGGGAGTGACGGGTTGGGGAAGCACAGGGTCAAGTGAGAGGCAGTCCTTGGGCTGGGGTTTGGGGAACAAGGGATAGTGCCCCAAACGTGGCAGATGAGAGGGTAACTATGTTAGAGAAGTGAGGGGAGGGTGTATGTGTGGAATAGGGTGCTGGGGAGGCTTTCCCACCCTCCCTTGCAACGCACTCTCAGCCCCTCATGCTCACCACCCTTCACCTGCCGCAGGGCCTTTGCACAGGCAGGTCTCTAGCCCACTTTCTTCTCTTTAATTGTTCCTCCTCTTCCACTACTCTCTCAGCACAAGACTCACTTCCTCTAGGACACACCTTTTGCCACAAACCCGTCCAAGGGCCCCAGGGCAAGTTACCAGCTCATGACCCAAGATGCCACCTCTTCATAGCAGTTTGGTTTTAATGGTTCGTTTATTTGTGTAATCTGTCCAGTATCTGGCTTCGCCCACTCGGATGTAAGCTCCAGGAGGCAAAGGACCCCCATTTGTATTGCCCATTTTTGAGACGCAGGGCCTAGCACCTAGCGGTGCTCCTTAACTGAGGGGAAGATCGTGTTCTGGGCGTTGCGTAATGATTGGGAAGGTCTGAGAGGGCCTCCTGCCCGAGGGAGGGAAGGATGGGTGTTGGTGGAGTGGTGGTGGAAGCCCAGAGTATGGGCACCGGTCCCGGGAGCTGGAACCAGCAGAGGGCGCTCCGGACTCGCTGGACACCACGCTCCGGCCCTGCGGAGGCGCCACGGGTCAGGTGGGGAGGGGACCTTGGGGAATGCCGCGGGAGACTTTCGGGGGGGGATCCCCCAGGGACGCCCCCACCGTGGCCAGACCCCTACCAAACCCGCGCCTACTGGACAGCCCCCTCCCTGGCCAGGCCGGGGTCCGGCCCC